AACGTTTTGTGGTTGTTGTCAATACGCGTAATTCTATTTGTGCAGTTGGACAGTAAATCTGTACTGGCTGATCGGATCTCGAAAATGTTCTAAATTGCGTCACTTGCATCTCAAGGCATCGCTGAGTTTAGTTCCTCCTCCCACATTGACTGATTCAAACAAACCCTTCATTTCTGGCTTCTGCAAGGATTTGGGCGACTGCCTGGATGAACTATTAATGACAGCTGATCATTTCTCGCATTGGGTCAGCAAAGAGAAGTCGGGTTGATCAGTTGGGTTCGGGTTCAGTGGCCGGGGTTAGTATTGGGGTGGGGCTGCGAGGTTGAGGAGGGGCGGGGGGGTCTTCGTGCCGGGCGGGGCCGGGAATCGGGAACCGACTGAGATCTGGCATTCATTTAGCTTGCAGAGGCAAAAATGTGTTGGAGCGGCGCTAACTTAATAAGCACAACCTAGCCTGCCTTTTGGCTCCAGGGAGGGCGCCATGGGTGGGCAGCCCACCTCACCCAGGCCAGGCTCTTCAACAGCCACTAGGGGGCGCCAAAGTACACAGTTGCTTTTGACGGAGTGGGGTCAATTTAAGACGCCTCTGGCATGGTTTTTTCAGGCTCAAATTGAGGCAGAGGTGGTACCATCCTGACCATGTGCCACAACATCTAGGAATGAGGAAGCTGTTAGCTGGTGTTGAGCGCATCGCATCATGGCATGAGGCGCCCACTGCGATTCCTGCCACTAAAGGCTTTAAGAATATATTTTTGTGGCTCAAGTGTATAAAGATGTGTAGGCACAAGAAAGATTTGCGTTTGTTCATTGACATTTGAGAGGGGTGCGGTTGCAGCGGCCGGAGCCTTAGAGAGAGGACAGAATGGCTGGATTTTGAAGCTTCGTCATAAACTCAGATTTTATTTTTTTAATCATTCAAATTTGGCAGGGTTGTGAGCAACACTATTCTCTGTGGCGCGTCAAGTTTACAGGACAGATTTATTTTTACGATGCAGGCACTTGTGGACTGAAAACAGCACAAGACCTTCAGTAAGCTCCTTGTGTACCTCTCACGAGTGAACTGATGCAAATGTCTTTGGGCGTCTGGCTTGTTTTAACTTCATCAATGTAATTGCACAACGCCGGGAATGTCAAACAAGAACCAGCGGGATTTTTTTTCCCCTTCCACAATAATTTAAATTCAGGGAAATCCCAAGAATGTTCTTGACATCAGAAAATACACATGGATGAAGCTTCAAACCCTCACCCCCCCCCCTTTTTCTTCTTTTTTTCCGACTCATGTGAACACTCAGATTGGCTCTATTATGTCTGGGAATAATGTAAAACAGCTTCCCAGCGTGTCCGTGTCTCTGCTCCCGTCTCTGGAACGCCACTTTGACGGCGGCTGGAGTCTGGATGAGCGACGCCTAACTAAGCCACTGCTCCACCCCCACCCCAAAAATTTGCCGCCATCGCCATCTTCCAAAGACAACTCGCGCTCAGACAAAGTAACGATTCCATGGTGACACCACGCGGAAAAGTCGTTGTAACTACTGTACTTTGACAGACAGATGATGAAATAGTGAAAATATTTCTCATTTAGTCCCCAAAAAAGGGCCACCCTTCGTATATTAATGGTGGACAAAACACAGATACGACCTGAGCACAAAATGCTAATTAATTTGTGGCCCGAATTAGGTACAGTATAGCATGAATATAAAAAGCGAACTAAAAGTTTGTGGATACGAATTAGTTGCTAATTTGTGGTCTCAACACACCAACTTATGGCCACAAAAATACTAACTTCAGCCACGATCACTCCTAAAACACCAAAAAGTTTGACTTTAAAGTTTAAAATGACGGCTTGCCTTCATCTGGAAGCTTCGCATCGTGTCATTCCGTCTACAGGTGTAGAAAATAAAATCCTCCACACCTGTGGCAATCAACAGCATCCCAAAGCTAAAGTTAACTAGCTGAGGAGATGCTCTCTTTGGAGCAACATTTTTTTTTGACAAGCGTGACGGTGGTTTGATAGACAGACGAGATGGGCCTCCTTCAAACCGGACTGCTAAACACATGGCTTGAGGCTATTTAGCTGGCCAATGAACCACTAATGACCAAAGGAACCCACTTCCGGGTTCATCGTTTGACGGACACGCTACGCACCACATGACGCATGCGCACTCGCTAGCTCTCTTAAAGGGACACGACACAACAACCTTGAAATGATGATGAGATGCGTGCGCATGTACATGAAAACGCATTCTTTCCGCTAACAACCCCGGCTAAATTTAGCTCCTCTCTGAAACCCAAAGTCAGTCTCTCAGTTAAAATGCATCACTTCAGCATATTAGCTTGACAAAAATTATTGCACTACTTTTCATAATTAGTCAGTGCTAACTTACTGCATGTCGTAGCGTTCTACTAAGAGCAGAAACGTGCAAATATATTGTAGGTGAGTTTTTCCACACCATGTCAGTGTCTCTGAAGACAATTAAATGTGCATCCACTAAAAGTTAATTTCACTCACTTGTGTGTGCCTTGAGGGGTAGCTGGATGAATCACTTTTTGATGACCTTATTCGGGCAAGATGGCGGCGTAAAGGTCCTGACAAATGAAATCCATAAAATTAATTCCCAGGATTAAATTCCTGCAAATCCTAAAGTGTCACACATCAACAAGCATGGGAAAACAAAACACATCAGATGAAAAGGGACGGATCAAGACGCACCGAAAAAAAAAACTTCGAAGAGATCAGGCCAGATGTTATCTGGGAGGGAAAAAAAATAATTTCATTAAATCTATCAAATCATCTAAAAGCTTTTTATTTGCTTTCTCCAGTTACAACATAAACACTTGACTTTTTTGACTTTTCAGACTGAAGCAGCAGGAATGTGTGATGTGTGATTGTGTGTGAGTGTGTAATGTTTGATTCCCTCTGCATGCCGACCTTCAATAATAAAGTCCTCCCAAATGACTTATTATATTAGAGCCCAACAGAACTGATGACAACCGTGCACCATTGATGTCTGCATCTCATTTTGTGCCAATTGTATGTGAGATGAAAGTTTGTTGTAGTGTGAGTAGTGTAAAACACTGTCCATGATTGATGAATAGGAAAAAAAAATCCTTCTTAAAATGCTGACAAATTTAAAAAAAAAGAAAGCGAGTTAACTTCTCATTTCTCATAATTTAGTAGGAAGTGAGAAAAAAAGCTGAAGCCGACTAATTTCCCAATTTAAAAAAAAGTTAAAAAAAATACTAACCTTAAAAAAGGGCATTTCAAATATATTTAAAAATAATTAAATAGTAAATTTAGAATACAAAAAGGTTCTTTGTGAAAAGAAATGTGTTGGAAGTGAGGTCCCACTGGCCAAAATCAAAACATTAAAAAAGTTGTCCCCCTAAGTCACCCTAAAAATTATGTTTGCTACTAATTACCTTTCATTGTTGGACCAAAATTCTCCTACATTTTTGTAACAAGCAGTTCCTTTGGAATGGCAAACAGTCAGAAAGTGAGATTCCAAATGGGCTAACAAAAATGTGGGCTCTTTACTATTTCGATCAATTGTTTCTGTACAAAATTGTACAAAAAAATGTCACCTTTGGTACTATGGAATGCAGCACAGGAAGTGAGATCATGCTGGAAGCATCCATCACATTCATGATCCTATTAAAAAAAATGTGGTGTGATTGGAACTAAACTGCACTACATTTTGTTTTTAGTTTTGTACAAAAGTTTGCAAAAGTGTCAAACCTTGGGAATTTAATGCCATAAGGTAGAATTCAAATATTGCTGAAAAAAAAATGTGCACGCTTACTACTTACTACGCCCTTTTGCTTTTTGTACAAAATCCTACAAAAATTGAGTGACAGGAGACTTTGGAAAAGCAAGTGTGTGTCGTATGTAAGATAATTGCTGACTCTGAACAGCCAATCAGGCAACAGGATGACATCACATGACTTTTGTATCCATCAATAAGTGCTTTTACTGATTCAAGATGGCATCAACATGACAAAGAAAAAAAAGATTATTTAAGGAAACAACATGAGTGTCAAACACTCTGACCAACTTTCTCAAAGCCGTCACGTATCAAACAACAACAACAACAACAACAAATCTTCGGGTCCTGAGCTCTTTTATTGGAACTATGCTGATTGTCTGAATCTTGGCTGTCGGCGTAGCACTTGCATCTTTGGGTACCACCGTAGTTTCTCTATTTCTTAAATTACCAGCTTTTTGTTGTTGCCGTTTTGAAAAATGTAGTCATAAAGACGCAGCAAAAGTATTGGGATGAGTCAAGTTTCAAAAATACAATATTACATAAGTTATGGCTTCATAAGTTAAACAGGAAGCGGAACGCCCTGTAATATACACGTTTAAATAAGTCTCGCTGCTCAGTGCGTCTCTGTATTGTCGTATAGAAAAACAAAAAACAAAAAACATGCCTAATGCGGAAAATAAAAAGCCGTGAAGGACCAATCAGGAGGAAGGACACGTAAAGGAAAAGGAAAACAATTACACTACCACATTAACATCGGAATCTTGCAAGACAACAATCACATGTTTTAGGAAAAGTTAAAATATTTCAGGACATTTTTGAAAATGTAATTCAAGGGAGGGAAAATTGTATTTTTGAGAGAAAAAATATATTGTTGAGAAACGTTGTGCTTTTTAGAAGTACCTTGTAGATTTGGAAAAACCGTTATAATCGAGAAAAGTCATATTTGAGATTTTTTTTCATAATTTTAGAAGGTATATGTAGAAAAGTTGTACTTTTAAGAAAAATGTTCACTTGTTAAAAAAGTGTATATTTAAGAAAAAAGTCGCACATTTTCAAGAAGAAATGTTTCATCTTAGAGAAGACATTTTTCAGGAAAAATAGTTATAAAATTGATGTGCGAAATAGAAAACATTCATATATTTCAATCAATCAATCGTATATATCAAAATATACAATGCAAAAAAAATGGCATAATTCAAGTAAAAAAGTCATTGTTGAGATTCCCTCCCCCCCCCCCCCCCCATAGCTGATGCAATGTCCTCTTTTCAAGAAAAGTTTTATTTCAAGGTAAAAAGTTGCTGCTGATTTTTCTTCTCAAATTTATTTATTTATTTTTAAATGTCATTTAAATCCGACTTCAATATGGTAGTGTAATTCATATTATTATTTTGCTCTTTGGAGTTTGTGCCTCCTCCATGTTGGTATGAAAAAGATTTTGAAAAAACAGTCTATTCGGAAGGATGTGCTGCTTATTGCCGCTCCGAGCGCTTTGGTCCAAACATTCCAGGAAGACAAGTTTGCACAAGTCGAGACGAGCTGCTTTCAACAAAATAAAAATCCCTTTTCAGTCAGGCATTCAGTAGGGCCTCCACACGGCCTCATCCATGCGTCCCCCCGTGTTGAGGACGGTGGGGGAGTTGCTGTGGCTCCCATCTCCCGCGTCCACGCCGCCGTCCGCCTGGCTGGGAAGGTTGGGGTTGACCAGCGAGGTCCCCGTGGAGGCGCTGGTGCAGGGCGGGGGGGCCAGTCGCGAGGGTGAGCGCTCGCCGCCCCCGCCCGACACCATGGAGATCTGGTAGGACCCGGACGAGGCGCCGTAGTACAGGTAAGGGGTGCTGCTGGTCTGGAAGGGTCCGCTCTGGTTCTGTGTGGAGCCCGGGTAGGGCGGAGGAAGGTAGGTGTGGTAGTGGGGCCCCCCCAACGACATGGCGGAGGTCACGGGCGGCGTGTAGGTGAAGGTGGCCGGGTAGTGCATGCGAGGACCGCTGAAACGACTCTCCGCCAAGGATGACAATCCCGGGAACTGGCGCTCAAACTGGCCCGGGAAGGGGCTCAGGTCCGAAGAACCTGAAGGAAAGATGACAACAACAACAAATGTTAGCGCCTTGAGACGAGGGGCAACCAGTGAAATTCACCAAGCTCAAAAATAAATAGATGACTTTGTCAAACACATTTTTTCAATTGAAATTAAATGCCATTAATCCATTCCAGTCCTTTTTTTTGTGTGTTTTTAATTGAGGAAAATAGTAATTTTGGATAAAAATGGGGTCCCATCCGATTAATTGGCAGGTATTGGCTATTTAAAAATCAGCCAAAATTGGCTGATTAAAAAATATTGAAATCTATCCAAAATGAGTCGAATCAGGAGCTAGAGTCAGGTCATCGAGGAGTGGGAATCTCATTTCTTCTCTTAATAAACAAGGCTTAACTTCTTATTGCACTTAGAAGACTGTTAAAAGCGTTTAAATGCTGCAAAGACTGCAGAAAATTCAGACACCCCCCCTTTTTTTTCTCTTACCATGATTTCCTTTGGGTGGAATAAAAATGTGACTAAAAATGCCTGTATTGTTTTATTCATCATCTTCTGTCTCGCCGGCCGACGCTGACAAAGCGTTTGCATGTTTACGCATATTTACGTGTGTGTGTGTGTGTGTGTGTGTGTGTGTGTGTGTGTGTGTGTGTGTGTGTGTGTGTGTTGAATGTGGAGCAGCACATGTGGAAACACTTTGTGCAAGAAACAGTTTCCATGAGATCCATAATGAGGCGGACCCCGGCTCTGATGTGGCTCCGACGTTCGCCTCCCGTCGGCTCCAGCGAGTGTGTGCGTGTGTGTGTGTGTGTGTGTGTGTGTGTGTGTGTGTGTGTGCTACATCCCCCAAAATAAAAACTACCACCCCCCCTTCCCAAACCACTAACTGGCTGTGGTGAGCACGACGCTGGGTGCAGAGTTTATGGAGAATGGGAGGTCTACTCCGTACCCCCATGCCATAGTTAGCCCCTCCCCATACCTTCTTCCCCGGGCCCCCCCATTTGTCCCCCTCAGTGGTTTAGTTCAGCTACAGCATTCATATCATAAATCACGAGGCGTCTTCCCTGTCCCCACGTCTGCTGCGAAAAAGAGGGCGAAGAGGATGAGAACGAGGGGGTGGAGGCCTCGCGGAGAGAAGCGGAGGGGCTCGGCGTGTTGACGTGCAAGTTAGCGTCACGTAGCATATGATGCTAATTAAAAGACCCCCCCCCCCGCCCCCACGATTTCCTCTTATTATTTTTGAAGGAATATGAGATTGTGTAACATGTTCAGGTCACATTCATTTCTCGATTGCAGCTTCTAATGTAGTATATTTACAGTATGAGATTTAACGTATGTATGCCTCTCATACATTACATATACTTAGAAGATATGCAATATATCAAGACTGCAATGTGTTATTCATGTTCCAGGTTCCATATAGCTAACGCAACATATTAGCACCACATTTCATATCTTCTAATCGATACCTTTAAAGCATTTATTTGAAGAACAGGACACGAATGTTGTCAGCTGTGTGTCTGTAGCACATTTGTGCGGTCAGGTTGCAGTATTTCAAGGTGTCCACATGTCAGTTGGGGTGTGTGTGAGGTCACGAATGAGTGTGTGGCTGTGAGAGTTGGTTGTGTGAGTGTAACTGTTTTTTTTTGGTTTGTTTTTTGTTTTTTTGCTGAGTGTGAGGGTTTTTTTGTGGTGTGAGTGAGAGTTGCTTTGGCGTCTATAAGTTATGTTGTGATGAGTGTGGTTTTTTTTTTTTTTTTTTAATTTAAATGTAGTATTTTTTTTCATTTGTGTGTTTGTTTCTGGGGCCTGGGGGGTCGGGTAAGTGTGACAAGATTTTGTTGGGCGTGAGAGGTTTTGGGTGTGTGTGACTCTGTGTTTTTTTTTTTTTTTGTTACTGTGAGAGGTTAATGTTCTTTTGAGTCTACATGGCACCTCATATGAACGAGAACAAAGCGTGACAAAATGAAAGCCGACCAGGGGAAACTCCAAAGTCATCTAGGCCGACAAGGCAAGTTGACTGCATCTGAATGATGGCAGTGAGTCAACAGGTGTTCAGACAGAAAACTTGTCTGGCGGCATGCTGGGACTTCAAAAGGGGCGCTTCACTTTTATTTATTTTTGGGTGTATAAAATGTAAGCCGGATACACACAAGCCAACTCATGCAATTTGGCACAATGCCGCGTGAGGGAGTGCAGAAGAGCAGCAAATCGCCGAGAAAGACACTTTGCTGGTGTTTTTATTTTGCCGGATAGGCCCTTTAGGATCAAAGGATGACGGTCGCGCTGTTAACATCACTTTGAACACCTTTGCTGACTTCTGCTCGCTGGTCTAAATCGTGTTCGCAAAAAGCTAGCGCAGTTTCATTTGATGAAATGACAAGGTTTGCTTGAACATGCGGGCTTTTAAATACTGGTGGTTCATTGAACAACCTGGCAAGCGTCTGGGCACGTCGCTGATGGAGGGCAGGCCCGTGCCTCTGCTGGAGGAGAGCGGGGTGGTGGAGTGCACCGAGGGGGACGCCATGGGACTCAGGTACGACGGGTACGTCTGCTCGTACGACCACGGCGGCGACGACTGCGACTGACGCGGGTCTGATGGAGTGGAGAGGAGGAAACAGTCAGTGACGCGTGAACGGCGCGTCTGACGGACTCGGTCTGAGTTCTTCAGAGTGTTTACTTTGCCGGAAAACAACTTCCTGTTTGCCTTTTAAAAGGCAGCGACATGTTAATAAGCAGGGGTGGGAAAACGTAGGCGCTCAAGGGCCACATTTGATGTTTTAAAGCGGACACATGGGCCAAGTCATTAAAATGTGCCTGTAAACTATGTACAATTTCATAATAAAATAAATCACTCTCAGGTTTTGTTTTTTAATTATTATTTGGGCTGAACGATTTTGAAAGCTAGTTTTAATTGCCACCCCCCCGCCCGATATCACGATTGCGATTTAGTGTGCGATTATTTTCTCAATTCCTATGAATTCAATAATTAGTGCTTCAGCTTACTGTGATTTGAAAATTGCGTTCTACTGCAGTGCTACGTCGGCTTGAATTCAATTATTTCTTTAGCCCTATTTTTAAAAAGTATATTCTACATGATGAATTGAATTAAACAGTGATGGAAAGTATTACCGGTGATCTGCGTCTGTCCCTGCGCCGTGAACGAGTTGGGCGCCGTGTTAAGCGCCGGTCGCTGGGCCTGGGCGGGCACCGCCACGCGGACCCTCATCCTCTCCAGCTCGCTCAGGCGATCCGAAAACAGGCCCGACTTTGGAGGGTCCTCCAGCTTCTGCCGATGCCCTGAGGACGCAGTGCAGTGCTTCGGTTACATTTTATAAATATGCCATGTTCCAAAGACTTAGTCGAGACTTAATATGAGTTAATAGTGAAGGTAATGCAAGTTTCACACTGTATCGACCAACCCGAGTCTGAAACCATACTTTGAGACGCTAACCCTAGTTTAAAACCCTCCTTTGAAACTCAAACACGAGGCTAAAATCCTACTTTGAAACTCTAATCCTCATTTAAAATCGTATTTTGAAACGCTAACCCTAGTTTATACCTTACCCGAAGTTTGAAACCCAAACTGCCATTTAAAACCCTACTTTGAAACCCTAACCAGAGTTGAAAAATGTTTTACAGTAAGTGAACGGCCGTCCAAATGTCAGATAAACGCGAACGAGTCTTTAAGATTGACAGAGAAAGTTGTGAGGAAGAGTCAGTTTCAGTTGCGAGTGAATCTGGATCCTCCGACTGCGAGAGGAAGCCGTACGCTCATTAAGCTGAGGCCTGTTCGTCAGGTAAACAGAGTTTCTCACGCCACGACGCCATTATCCCTACAGGAGTCGCGCGCGCTGCCAAAAATATTCTCGCCTCGCTGTCTTCCTGCATTCCTCTGGCAAAATTTTGACACCCCTTTGTAACACTTGCACTCCTCAGAGGTGTGACTTACTGTACCTAGCACACGCATTCGTTCCCATAATGGGCCACGTGCTCACTCGTCTGGCGTTTAGTTCTCGACTCAGGTGTGGACTCACTGGCAAGTACATTGATTTTGTTGTCTTTTGATGCTGCGCAGCTTTCAGACAACGGCGGAATTCCCGCCGCGCTTTGGCACAACTCCAGCTGGCCCGCTAACAATCGGCAGGATCACTCACAATCCAGATAAACCTGCTTATGGAGGGGACGACACCTAACCAGGTCGAGTTTGCTGGAAGGCAACATGGAGTTTAAAAAAAAAAAAACATTCACAAAGGTTGCACCGGCTTTTTCTTACTCCTTGTGTTCTCGGACGTTGCTCAAACACCACCGTGGCAAAGCTTGGCTAAGCTAGGCTACTTTACAGTGTAATCACCCTTTATCATGGGGATAGGTCTGAGATAAGGTTCTTTTAAAAACGTATTTCCTCAAATAGTAGCCCGCTTGAATAGATACTCAGAATAATTGCTGCTTATGTCATCTCCAGAAAAAAAAAAATAAGCGCCCCGTCGCCCCCACCAAAGTTAAAATATCATATATGTACTAATTGGTCCAATTATTGACACTAAGTCCAAAAAAGCCACATTGTTTATTGGGTTTGTCATTTTCAATATATCCTGTGCAATTCCTCAAACAGTAGCCTCTGCTGTAATAGATGCCTAAATGAATGGATGGCTACCGCATCCACTGGAAAAAAATAAAAATAAATAAATAACCAATTCTGTATTTTCCAAGCAAATCCATGTTGCTCGCTGTGTTTATGAAATTTGCACAGATAATTAAGGCCTTTCATTTGGAAAGAAAGTCCCAGAAGTTCAGTCATAAGACATTGCATAATTCAAACATCCCCCGACCACGTCCCATCACATGTCTCACATTGTTGCCCCGCAGGGCTTCTTGTCTTCCCCGCAAAGAGTTCCCATGAATGATAAGAAGTTGTCTTTTAATAACAAACTCATCGCCATGTGACTGACTAACAACTAATGGATTTATTCTGTTTGGACTTTTAAATCGCAAATAGGGTTGCTTGGGAACCAAACACGAGAAGACTGCTCTGCTATTGCAGTGTCAGCTTTCATGACAGTGCTTTACCCGCTCTATCATCGTCCGTTGCTGCGCCTCAACCCCCCCGAAGCGATATCGTTGGCTCTTATGGTTCTTACGGTTTTTCATTCAGAGTGTCTATAACCGCTGGGTCCAGGATTGAGTGTCAGTACTTAGCCACCTGTACTTGTCGGGTGGACTTGCACCTCCTGAAACGTTTAGTTGAGCACAACTACATGCTTATCATGGCTTCTGCGGGGCTTAATTATTCCTTGTTCACTGCCAGAGCCAAGCTCATGTTTCAGCTGTTTTATCGGAACTTTAGTCAGGCAGCTGAGCAATGAGCCCGGGGTGTTTCAAAAGAACCAGGAAAAAAAAAAGGGGGCTGGACGATTTCACCCAACGGTGGGGAAAGTCCCCGACATTCCCATCATCACCATCAGCAGCAGCAATAAGGTTGGCAAAAGTAGCCACACTGTACATGGCTACCAGTAAAGGTACAGGGGGGAAGAAATGATGCTAGGAAAAGTAGTACAGTGAACCCCGATTCGTGGAAACAGGGACCGAGCCCTGCCACGAATCGTGAAAAGGGTTGACATTGTACTGCGAATGTCTATAGCTTTCACAAAATGGCGGCAAAGGAATATGCATGAGAGCACTGTAAAAGAAAAATGTGAAGACAAACCTCAGATGGGTAACTAGCTAAACTAACTTCAGTTATTTGCTTGGCAAAGTGCTAAATGGCCAATTATTGAAAAGTGCAAGTACAGCGATGTCTGGATTTATAAGCACCTCATCTTACGTGTTTTTCCAGTTGTCGCACGTTCAATTCTTTGCTTTGTGGTGCCTGGCAAAAATTTGCATTCAGGGTGAGCTTTACATTTGCCACCGTTCCAGAGCACTCATCCTGAGGTAAAGGAAAGAAAAATATTAAATGTTGCGTTTTTTTTTTAAATTTAACAAAGCGCTCGCTCGCATTGGCTCAACTTATGCTCCCAAAATGTTTGCCGTGTCGTTCATGCTGTTATCTATTTAACAATGAAATAATAAATAGTATTTAAAATCTACTTATGCACAGGAAATAAGTGCCTGTACTTGCAGATTAGCGATAGCACCGTCCCTGCCACTTCCTTCCCCGGCCCAGCCGGCGGCCGGAAGTTAGGACAGATTCGCACCAGATGTGCGACCACTCGGCGGCCGCGTGCCAACGCTCGCTCACAAGTCGTCGGAAGAAATTAGATCCAAAAGGAGTTATTATTCTAAGTGAAGCTCTGTGGCGCGCCGCTTTAATCTGATCAAAAGAAAAGCAGGCAAGGAGAATAAAGAAGCTGTGTGATTAAAATTAATGGAGGTGGTTTTCCCTTCACGGACAAGGTGACCATTCGTGTCTGGGATATGTGGTGACAGCCAGGCGAGTTACGCTCCGCTGCCGGCGCTAGCTTAGCTTTGCTCAGTCTTGACAGTTGGGAAATCAACATGACTTTATCCAGAATTGAGCAAAATGTCGACAGACTTGTGGGTTTCCTCTAAATTTATGCTAAGCTAGGCTAACATTATGTCACCCTGTCACTTCAGGTTAAAGCTCTTGTCTTAGCTTATCTCAGACTTGAGAGTTGGAAAAACAAGGCCGGCTTTGTCCAGACGCAAGGAAAATAAATTGAGAAACTTAATGAAACACAAGACTGCAAAAGCTATTTTAGTATTGCTTAGATACATACTCCATTTAATCCGAGTGGATAAAAAAATGGATTTGTGTGGAATCAAGCACACTAAAGTTTAAATAGAGACTTGTGGGTTTTACCTTTATTTATGCTAAGACAAGCTAACGTCGTCTCAACATCACTTAAAACGGAGTTATGATTTATTTCAAGTCCAAAATACCTCCTCTTCACACATGACTACAGTCTGCTGAATTAATGGGAAAACTGTGAGAAAGACAAACACTGGAGTGATCTCTTTCACTGGAATTCTTTTATGTATGTAGACAGCTGGGCTAGTTTTACACTCTGCTTGAAGGCATTTGAGAACACAAAATGCCAAAGCTAGCTTAGCTTAGCATTTAGGAGCCCGCAAAAACAAGCCTAGCTTTGTCCATAATCGAGCAAAATAATGTCAAGTGGTAAGACTTGTGGGTTTGCACTTGATTTATGGGGGCTAACGTCATCTTATGGAAACATAAAACACCAAATGCTATCTTAGCTTAGCATTGCTGAGCCTTGACAGTTAGAAAAACAAGCCCGGCTTTGTCAGGAATCAAGCAAAATAAATTTAAAGTGAGACTCAAGATGTGCTGGTTGAAACACGACTCGCTGATGTGATAAATGGATTAAAGAAGAAGGAAAACACTGTGGCACTAAACAAGGCACTAAATAGTGGCGCTACCGTTTGACAGATTCAAATGACATCAAATTATTAAACATTCATATTGTCATGGGCAAGAAAAACAAAAATCCCCAAATTTTTCTTCAAAACCTTTCGGTCACTTTCAAGATTGTGCATCATTGTCCCATGATGCGAAGCCATTTTTGGTCATCATATTTTTGCCTCTGTTTTTGTCCCCACAATTCTGTTAGTTTCGTGGAACTTTTAATTCTTGGTACTTTTCATTCCTTTGGCTGACTGTGTTCATCAATCCTACCTTTTTTCCTCACAGTTACACAACCATTTTATTTCTATGGTTATCATCACATTTCACCATTGCTTTTTGCTGTATTGTTTTTGAGTCCGTTTAAAGCTTGAGTAAGCATGTTTTGTGGCGCACTAAAGCCTCACTACACGTCTGCGTGGATGTCAGTCATCCATGAATCCAGTTCTATTTTAAATTCTGAGGCCTCACAACCACCGTTTTTATTTTTTTGACGTCATGAATAATTCCAGTGGATGACTTCCAGAGGAAAAAAGTGTGGAGTTCGGCTGGGCTGAAGGCAGGGTGACAGCCAGGCGCCCGTCCGCCGTGGGGGTCTGGTATCGGGGGAAGACGGATTGGAAGAAATGAGGGCAGATGATAAAACCAGAGATGGAGGGAGGAGAAAGGGGGAAAAAAGAGGAGGGGGGAAGAGGAAGAGGAAAAAACGAGTGAAAAGGAGCCGTGCTGACTGCGGTGGAACGCTGCCAGGCGTCTGTGTGGTCCGGCCAGGGAAGGGAAAACGCACTCGCTCGCGCGGGCGCGCGCGCACACACACACACACACACACACACACACACACACACACACACACACACACACACACACACACACACACACGTACATTATACACTTATGTATATAGACGTCCAGGACAGCTCCCCCAGGCGATACTATGATTTCATGCAAAAACACATTAGAGATGATTCAGAACGGGAGAACAGCTTTCTATTTCTTTTCCTCACTTTTTCTGACGCCCGCTGAATGATTTTGTGTTTAGTGTGACACATGCACAATCATGCGCCCGCAGACACTCACATGCACTCACTCACTCATTCATTCACACACACACACACACACACACACACACACACACACACAAACACACACACACACACACACACACACACTCACTCACTCACTCACTCACTCACTCACTCATTCACTCACATGCACGCACTTGGCACATCTTCAAAAAACTTCACACAACTGACTGGCTGTCTCTAAAAAGCTTTTTACTTTCTTTCTACTTCCTCACTCTGTTGCTATTGATTTATTGTTGATGTGTGACTCCCAACTATCACTGATTTGTTGTTTGATGACACACACACACACGCAAAACAACAGGAAATGTATGATGGCAGCGAACCACAATGCAAGAGTCTTGAAAATATTTGTTGCATTATTACTGTTATATTGGTGAATTGAAAATTTCTATTAATTTATTTCATTAAAAATCATTCATGCATTTATTGTAAAGAAATCAATAATACACAAAAAATAGATGCATTTATTCTTCAAAATAACATGTTTTCCATATTTACACACACTACAAATGCCTTGGCCCATCAGTCAATTTAAAAAATAATTATAATAATTACTAATTTTATATGAAGCTAAAACTTTCCATGGAATTGTGTTCATTCATCTCATGATATCCAATACAAAAACTTTACAATAGAAATTCAAAATGCGTCCCACGATTGTCCAGTGTATAGTGTCAGTAGCGAGTGTGGTTTACCAGATAAAATGTCAACAAAATCAGGTAAGACAATAATATTAATAATAATGGTGATCGAAGCGCTTACTTTCTTTGATTGACACTTTTATTTTGACCAATATGTCTATTACTGAGCTCATGATGAGAGCCGTCCATAATGTTTTGAGCCATTGCTCAGCATCAAAATATTGGTATCGTAAAATCTGCTTGTTAAACTCTTGTCTACTGTTTGTATTATTGATGATTCCCCAAAACAATCACGACCAATCTTTGGGAATGTCTATCAACAGCTAATTGGATTTAGCGTCCCGCAGGGCTCTGTTTTAAATTATCTGCTTTTTATTTGAGATTAAACGATTTCATTTCTTTTAATTATGTTTATTTTGATCAATATGTGCAGCATAAATGACATTCAAGTAACAATGCAGCTAGCAACAATTACTAAACATTTGGCTTTGGCAAAAAAGGGAATTTCCACATGAAGATTTTGAGTCATGAATATTGTGAAACCCTGTTTTCCCCCCTCGCATATCAAATACTTGACAAAATGATGTGTTTTCTACTTTTCCAGGCCTTACCATTATCTGATCCAGGTTTTACCCTTTGAAAATTAATTTAGAGGGGACTTTTTTTTTCTACCGAATCAAATACCGATCAGGGAAATAATTATGTAATAATTGTGTCAATTTTGGGGAGCACTATTCAAGAAAACACAACTTTTTTTGGTCATAAAATTGTCAACGAGTCATTACGACACGTTATACAGACGAGTGGATTTTAATGCCTGGCTGTGTGTGCGTACTGTGTGTGTGTGTCTATGTGTGAGGTTAGTACGTAACCACTAATATGGTCTGCAGGAACCGCTGCCTCCTCACCAGAGTTGTTAACACTCTGACCCCCACAAAACACAAGGCACACGCACGCTTAGCCACAAAGCTAACTTTGTGTGACACCACAATGTTTTGTGTCACCTCTCGTGTGAGTCTACCATCAATTTGATTGACTAACTGCATATCTGCCAAGAGGAAGTGTGTGCTTTTTGCTACCGTTGTGTTTCTGAGACACAAACGCACACTAGCACACCTGGGCCTGCGCGCGACCACTCCCCGCCACCTATTAGCTGCAAATGACATTTAATGAGGCCTATTAGTTGCACTGTGCCAGCACTCTGCTAATGACACCATTAACATACAATCACACACTCCGACATGTGTCCTGAGCCACACACAACCACACTCGTGCGCTCACTCACACACACACGAGGGACGACAGGACTTCAGGCGTTAAGAGTGCTTTTGTGATGAAAGTCTGCAGACTCGTCGCGAATGACATCATTGATACTGTTTCGGTGTAGAACTGTAAATTATAAAAAATAATAATCAAAAGGGAATCCTTTGCAGTAATGTACATTATTTCAAAATATCTTTATGGACATTTTATTGCCAGTTAAGGCGTTGTGTTTAGATTAATGGATTCAAAGCCTTTTTAAGCCTTTTTAAGAATCCACTGGGACTCTGCAACCTGAACTAAACTCAACCCCTACTGTCTTGTGGAAATACTTATTGGGTGCCTTATTTTAATACCTTTCATCACTTTTATATACTCCAAAGCTTTGTTAACATGAATTAGCTGCTGAGGAGTCTCATCTGTTGGCCACCAAAGAACGGCCTAAAAAAAAAAAGTCATGTGACACGCAGCAGCAGATGCACAGGAAATGCTTTTGATCAAACAGCGAGCGAGCGTGCGTGTGTGAGTGACTGTGTTCTTGGCAGAGCGAGCACCGTTCCTAGCGGCAGGAACGACGTCGCTTGCTAAAGCGAGCGTCTGCCGGCTCCGCTGTGTCCCGGTGCCACATGTGAGCCTTGTTTGTCACATCACTAATGATTTTGTTCGTCATTTTTCATGAATTCCTCAAGGAGGAGGCAAACAGCTGCGTGCCAGACCAGCTGGCACTGACGGCTCAACGATAGTAAAGTGTCCCCCCCCCCCCCCCCCCTCTGGCCCAACTTCCTGCTCAGTTGTTTTTATACAGCCTATTAAAAGGAGCTGATGCTAGCACTCTTGCTACCCTGTGTAGCCTTTTGGGAATATCCCACCTCATTGTCTTGGTGCCTAGTGTGGGAAAAATGCCTCTTTATCGTGGTTCATTCATTGTTTAGGTCATGGTTAAGTCAACTTGAACATTTCAATGTTTGAATATACTGTACATATTTTGGGTGTGTTTTCTGCGTCGGTTTTACAGTCAAGTTTACCTGTGAGTGACAAAAAACAGCTTGAAGCAAACATGCTTGGCCTCTTATTTGGAGAACTGTGCAAACAAAAGAATGAAAACTACTGAATACTCACTAAGAAGTGTGCTTTAATGAGTTTAAGTGTCATTTCAACATGTTTGAAGTGTGTGGGAGAGGACAAAACGACTTCACTCCTCAATGAACGGTAGGAGTTTGTGAACGGACTTGCGTTAGCAACAGTGACCAAATGAGTCGATGAAGAGCCGTGAGTAAAAATACGAGACATTTCTTTTTTAAATCCCTGATGTGGGGGCGTGTGTATTGCATGTACTCACTCCTGGGTTCTCGTGGTCCGTCCACTGTAACCTTGATGGCTCGGTGATAAGTGGCGACTTGCGGCGGGTTGGTGAACACGGTGATGGTCAGCGTGAAGCTTTTGCCTGCGGCGACATCAAAGTGACATCATCATCATGATTCCCAAAGTTGACGCGCCATGCACTTCAGGGACAACGCGCCACATTCAACACAAACAGGGGGTGGGGAGGCTTTGGCGAGGTGTCATGGAGGACAACGGCGGCTTGTGTGAGAGGCTGTCGACTAGAAGAGACACTACGGCGTTATGTGTGCTCTTTCCGAGAAAGAGTAGGCTCTTTTAATTGGCACTTCCTCTCCCTAAACAGTGAACACCCTCTATGTCGCAGTTTACCATTTCACTTTTAACTGCGGTTGCAGCGTTGCGCAACAATGGAGGCGCTACATCAACAGCCGTGCACAGGAAAGACCTGAAGCAACTACCGAATAAGAAACAAAATTGCGTGGCGGCCGCCCCCAAGCCAACTGTTATCGCTTGACCGATGGTAAAATATCACGACGCGCCGCACGTCTCGTGTGTGTTCACCGTATGCGGGAGGGAGTGAGGGGGTGATTTCACTTCGCTTCAAGCAGAAAACGAGGAGGAGCACTCGTCCTCCATCCCAAAAAAGTTTACACATCGCCAGTCAGTCTGGTGGACGACGGTGGTTGCGTTGACAGCTAAATGCTATCGTGGTTGACACTCGAGCAGCTGTCAATAATCTAATCCAGCCGGTTAAGAAAGCTGGCGGTATTGTATGCCCCTCGGTCTCATCCCACAACATATGTCGGACCCGAGAGTGACATCATGCATTCAAAAGCAATAATTCCATATTAGTTTTTGCTTGATGATACATCTCCAAAGTGCAACTGAAGGAGCCATTTTCACAATTTGCTCCACTTTATGGATGGAACACTTCAATTAAAGTATGTTTCCTGTAAAAGAAAGTGAGTCAGTCGAATTTGCAGAATACATGCACGTCATGGTGCATGATTAGGGTGGTGCCACCTCTTCCTTAACTTGAGCCAGGAAAAACCCTGACATATTTGCTAATTTTCCTGTCAGTGGCATTTTGCATTGTAAGTTAGCATTTAGCTAGCAGTCTTTCGTTCGGCAAAACTTGATAGTTTGATTGAACAATTTAGTGTCCAAGCACACAATGTTTAACTCTCTTGTTTTATATTCCAGTATTTCAGTAAACTTTCTCCTGAAATGACAAATGAACAGGTTGAAGCGACCATGCTTGGATTCTTTTTTGGAGTGTGCGAGGGGGTTCACTTTAATCCCAACTTTATGCGTGATAGTGTGTGCGTCAGCACCAGGAATGCTGTGAATCACAGGCATCGGGTCAGCAGCGCTATGAAGACTTGAAAAGGTATGCGTCATGTAACCATGGCGACAAGCAGCGCCGGGTGGGGGGGGGAACAGGAAACGGAGGCGGGCCGAGGGGGTTAAATGTGGCGACTCATCGAGGCAGCTGTCCACGCGTGGGTGTCTGCCACGCCGACTGTAAACGTGAGTCCACATGTGACAGGTGTGCGCAGCGTCGGAATGGTGAAGTGGACAAATCCACTTTATTGCATAGACGGGCGAGCGTGAATTAACATAGATGTTTTGGTAATGATATAGCTTCAACAAACGCAAAATCTGCGATATAACTGGGGTGCCAACATTACAGCAGTTAACTTATTTTTACACTTGCATGACTGTTAAATTGAGCGCAGAACTAATTCACTCAACAGCAACCAACGCTATTTTTTATGGCCAGTGGGGGCACTAATACGAAATCGAAACTCGAGGAATCGAAACAGTATTGTGGAACTAACTGCGTCTGCCTTTCGAGGTTCCACTGCCACGATCAACGGTATCCACTTACACTACGCTACCTGCACTATCAATCGTGGCTGTCGCGGCCCCGATGTGCCATCGACATCCTGCCTCGTCACCGGCGGCCGGGTATTCATTTCAGACACCTCGTAGTCTGATCTCTCGCCCTCGGGCTCCTATGTCACTTCCTATCGATGGATTCTGTGACAAGGGTTTCCGCGGTAACGGGCCAAACACTTTAATAACTGGGCCGCCTCTTAAAATCTCACCTCTTGATATTTTGAAAGAAAATTTATGACAGGTCCTTTGGTGGGGGGAGTGAATCGTGTTTATGAGCATGCTCATTACCACCAACAAGGAAGTTGCATTTTCTTGTTTTGATTGTGGTTTGTTTGTTACATAACAACCAATGAAAACATTTATTATGTCTAGTCTGGAAGAAGTATGTCCATTCAAAAACAAGTCGACAAACTTCAATGACATTTGAAGCTGGGCAGGCAGTTCAATTAAATGTTTATCGTTTTGCTGTTGTGAAAATTGGCTTCCTTGCATTTCACAACAAAGAAAGAAGAACCCAAACTGAAAGATAAAAGCAGAAACAACTTGCACACTTTGCTGCGCCAACTAACATGGTTGCCATCGATGTCAGTGATTTATATTATCAAGATTTTCCAACTTTAATCGCTGTTTTAGCCCCGAAAATACAAGTTACGTTTTTTTTTTTTACAGTGTTGGCAAATGTCTTTTAAACACATGCGTGCAATTGAGACCACATTTCTTCACGCAGACAGTTGTGCCTTGAGATACAAGTCATTCATTTCATGACCATACTTGCAACTTGAAACACTTTCACATCAACTCGAAATGACTACACGCTGCTTAAATGCTATCATTTCTCACAGAGGATAAAGAATATATGCCGGGCTGTGTTTTATATTGTCTGTCTACATGTGTCGATTCAACATTTATATTATTATTATTTTTTTTAACTACTTCCTGTTTCTTCTTCTTCATGTATTCTGAAAAACATTCAGATACATACAGAAGGGCCGTACGTCGATTCCAATTAGGATTGTGTGCAAGCAGTGGCTTTGAGTCAGACATGCACTGGGAATGGGAGAGATCGTTATGTGGTTGCCACGTAAGCGAAGGAGACCACTAATCCTCACCACCTAAGAGCGTGTGTGTGTGTGTGTGTGTGTGTGTGTGTGTGTGTGTGTGTGTGTGTGTGTGTGTGTGTGTGTGTGTGTGTGCGCGCGTGTCTTCACCTCGTCCACTTCGGCCGACGAAGCGCAGGTCATTGAAACGCGCCACCTGGTTCTTCATCACGCCCGAGGCGTTGCGCAGTTCGGCCGAGTAGTTCTCGTCGTTGCCTGCCATCACTGTCACCACCGTGCCGTCCGTTATGTCCCCAAGCGCCACCACCTGAGGGTGAAGGCACAAGCTGACTCAAATTTATAAATATAAAAATATAGCAAGAACGAGAGGCAGAGAAGGCCCCCAACTAAGGTCCAATCATAGAAAAAAAACATTGTCTGTTTTACAGTAAACTTGAAGTGGGAGTGACAACGCTCAAAGAAAGCATGTGTTGCCTCTTATCAGGAAAACTTTGTTGGCAAGAAATTGAGAACAAGTGCTATCTTTTAATAAGTCAAAATATATTCTGTTTTTTTATCTTTAAAGCATGTGGCGGAAGTGAAACGATAAGACGTTTTCATGTAGTCTCTCACTATGATAATTGTGGGCTCACCCAAAAAAAAAAAGGATAGGTTATCTGAAAATTGTAAAAAAAAAATGAAAAAACTCTGAAAAGCTTTTAACAAATGTTTAAAAAAATAATTTAGTTTACAAACGACTTCATTCTTCTATTTATGTATTTATTTATTTTACTAAGGTAAGGTTGGCTGAAACGCAGTCCTTTCAGCATCCTGACAGTCAATGTACCCGCAGTTAAAAAATAAATAAAAACAAAGCCATTAACTTTTCATTTTTTAGACAATTTTTTTCCCATGCAATCAATTAGGCAAATAAAATATCAGTGGAACCAGCGTAAAAACATTTCATCCTGTGTATTTGAGTGCAGACCTCCACCAAAGCAACGCGAATACCCCCCACACCCCCTGGAATATTTGCTGACAAATGAAGTCAACTGAATTATTAAAACTGAAACATGGCTTTTAATCTTTTGATCCACATCCGCACCAAATGCCACGTGCTTGAAGGACACAAAATATGGCAACTTGCCAACTCCGTGTCAAAAGTAATTACAGAGCCCATCTCAGAACGCACATCAAAACACCTTCAAAGTGTCTTTTAATTTCATAACAGCAAGAAAAAGCCTCACTCAGATTCTCGTTAAGATTCCTGGAAGGAGATAACAACAACAACAACAAAAAGGATTCGGCAGCTTCTTTTACTACTCAGACAGCAAGAGGTGCTTGTTCAAAAAAAAAAGGAAAAAAAAAGAAAAAAGAAAACGAAAGAAGAAGAAAGTAAGAAAAAAAAAAGAATTATGAAAAACTCTTGTGTTTGTTTTGCAGCCAAGCAACACATTTCAACACACTTGAGAGCGTTTGATCCATCTGCCATATATCCGAAGAGTCTTGCGTATAAAAAAAAAATCACAGCAGCACGAAGTTTTGAATGTATTTATAATTAAAAATAACACAGCAGTTATTTTCCTAACGTCCCACCCACGTAAGTAATGCTTGAAATAACATTTTTGGCGTGGTCTAAAGCATTGTGCCAAGTTGACAAGAAGAATTTCTGTTATCATTTATAAATCTGCAGTAATATTACACGAGTGACATTTTACTGAGCCCCCCCAAAATCGAGGAATACTACTGTATTAAAGTAACAAAACACGTATGTGTCATTGGGTGGTTTGAAATGTGATCAATCAGGTACAATGACTAGACAAAATATTCAATTAAAATGATGTTAACTTCGACTTACCTTGAAAGCAACCGGCAGAGTCTTGTTACATCGCCAGTGCGACGGCAGTACGGAACACAAAAAGTTGGGGCTGTCGGTGCGCACCAACTCGGCCGGATGGTCGGCAATAATCTCGGCCATGCTGCGGTTCTCGTGGGCGCGCAGTCTGGGCACCACCGCCGCCGCCGAAGTCGCGTCCGCCTGCCCACCGGGGCCACCTCCTCCTCCTCCTCCGCCTCCTCCACCGCCGCCACCGCCGCCACCACCTCCTCCGCCGGCACCCGGTGAGCTCACGTCCGTCATCTTGCCCGCGAGCGGCTGCAGGCTGCTGGACGGCGGGCTGAACCTCCGGCTGGCGCTCGGGTCTACGGGGATGCGCATCACAAACAACGGGGTGGATTTAAAATGAAGCAATTCAATCGCTTCCGAAGGGAAATCAAAAAGTTGAGAAAAAAAAAAAAAGGTCGCGATCCTTCCTCGGTAGCACCGCGAGTAGGAAAACCTCCTTTCTGCCGGGCAGGAGGAGGAAAACCACGCGTGGGGAGTGTGAGAAAAAGGAGGAGGAGGAGGGTGGTGGTGGTGATCGTGGTGGTGAGGGTGGTGGTCTCTGTGGCTTCTTAAAAAGTCGGCGCGCCACCACGCATGTGCGGCTATAAATAACTTCAAATGGAAGTCCACGCGTGGGGGGCTTAAAAAATATGTCGGGGCAGCTTTCCAGGTGCGTCACAAACCAGCTTGAATGAATTGTCGGGTGTGATTCATGCATTAAAACAACTCCAAATGAAATTCTTCATTCAAAATATTGCAAAACAAGAAAAAAATGTTGCAAATAATTTGAAAATTAATTTTCTATCTGTTCTTTAAACTGCGCGAGAGTTTTTCTTTCCCGTCTGCGGCTTTTCTTTCCTCCAAGTGATTCAATATCTGGTACATAACTTGAAGGGGCGTCACGCGTGTACGTACCCGCATGATCCACGGTGACGACGACCGCAATAAAATCATAAAAGCGTGCAAGTGTTGCGTTCACGGAGAGCGTCCTCTGAGCACGTTCACAACGCGACGACAGTGCGCGTGTTGCGTTCAGGGAGCGCACCCGAACGTGTGTTTTGCTTTGACTAAGCAAGCGATTCGAGCCTGTTGCGTTCACCGAGCGTCCTCAGTGAGTGTGTGTGTGTGTGTGTGTGTGTGTGTGTGTGTGTATCCGGAAGAGTCTCCAGTGTACACGAGTGTGTGGCGTTCATGGAGCAACTCAAGTGTGCGTGTTGCATTCAAGGACTATCTAATCGTGTGTGTCGCGTTCAAAGCGCGTAACTGGTCTATAAAAGATGTCCAAAAACTAAAAAACTCCTGGACATATCTTTATTCATTCCGTGTACAAAATACATAAAAAAAAATCTCAGTTACTAGAAAGGATTCAAGCAGGGATTTGCTAATTTTAAAAAGTAACATTTAAAGAGGTATCTTCAAAGGAGGTCATTTTAACAGGTGAGAAAAATATTTCCAAAAAACTTAGTTGCTCTTGTAATAAAATCACCAAAAGAAAAAAAACAACAAATAAATCCATCCATTTTCTAATCCGTTTATCCTCACAAGGGTTGCGGGTGTGCCGGAGCCTCTCCCAGCTCTTTAATTCATGCAGTAAGCGAGGCAAACTCTGAACTGGTTGCCAGCCAATCACAGGGCACACAGACAAACAACCATACGCGCTCACGATCACACCTCGGGACAATTTGGAGTACCCAATCAAACTGTCATGCATGCTTTTGGAACGTGGGAAGAAACCGGAGGACCCAGAGAAAACCCACGCAGGCACGGGGAGAAGATACAAACTCCACACAGGAAAGCCGTAATCAAACCCTGCACTTCTGCACTGTGAGGCCAACGTGCTCACCATTTGACAGTGCCACCAACAATAAATAAATGAATTAAGCTACATGGTTCTCAACAAAAAGTAAATAAATCCAAAAATATGTAGAATAAGATTATTCTTGTACTAAAGTTTTTTTTTAAATTATGATTACTACGATAGGCATCGAAACTATGTTTTAAAAAACTATTAGAAAAAGTGCAGTCAGCCCTCAAATGTAATCTATATATTACACAGGGTAATACTTTGTGTGTGGGTGTGTGTCTACTGTAGAGGGCATCATTGACCCTCTGTGAGGCTCTTATTCATTCTCCCCAATTTGCCCAACCCCCTGATTAGGCATCAGTCTCCAGTCAGTCTCCTGGCCGCCACATCACACACCCAAACGAATGTGTGTGCCTGTGTCTGTGTGCGTTATGCCACTGCTGCTTTTCCACTGCACTCAAGAAACTTTTATTGCATGCTAGCGCTTTGATTCCTTTCGAAATGAGAGCTGCACATCAGGCATCTTCAAGGTGGAATAAGATTTGAAAGCATTTCATTGCTCGTTATTTAAAACACATACAAGAGACACTGTGTGTGTGTGTGTGTGTGTGTGAGAGGGACATCCATAGGGACATTTCATACAGCGAACTCTGTTTTCCATGCGAGACATATAAAACTATTTTGCAAAATAATTTCACCGCTCCAATACCTATTAAGACAGACTTTGAAAAGTATTCATCTCTCATTGTGACATACAACATTTTCAGGGAAACAAAAACAAGATGAGATGGCACAATACTCCAAATAAGAGGCACAGCGTGCTTGCTTCAAGCTCTCGTCCTTATATCTGGCGAAGTGCAATTTCTCAATGGCGTTCCGAGCACTCGCCTTTCTCTTGCCAAACAGTTGTTTGGTAGCAGCAAAGAAGTGCGCCCCTCTGCACGGTTTTGTAATCTCTGGGAATATTGGAATTCCGCCACTGAGCTTTCAGTGAGGTCTGCTGACTGTTGAGATATCACTCCTCTCCCATAAACGTTTTTGTCTCGATTCCAACTTGGAGTAGATTCAAACCACAACCATGTCCATACGCCTAAGTCAGTAGCATCGACAGCTAACTAGGATTTAGAGATAACAGCATGCAATTATAATACTGTATAGACGTACATGCTTGATAGCAAACCCGTTATTATTAAGTTAGCATCTTAAGGTACCACTGTATTATGGTACAAATGCTGAAAACATGACAGCACAACAGAAGCCTGGACTGTTTTTTTTTTTGTTTGTTTTTTTAAATTCCGGCGTCATCAGTGGTGCATTTTTCAAAACCCTTAATTACAGCTTCTTGGAGAAGCCCGCCCACCAGGCTTTCGGCTAGCAGGGAGATGTTTCCACGTTGGACAAGATGCCTGCCAGGCCCGCCAGGTCCGGGATGCGACCAAAGCGGGATAAAAGCGGGACGACGAAGGCCGCCGCGGGAGCAAGGCTGGCACCAGAGATGGCTCGACCTGCTCGAGGACAACAAATGATGAGGGCAGGTAACCTGACCCTGAGTGACCTCATAGCGGTGCGCTTCACAGCTAAGCCCATAATTAATGTTTGTCACCTAGTCCGTGACATCAGACTAAGGGTCTCTAATATTCCACTCAACCTCTTCAGAGAGTACAGCGAACACCCCGTTTGCAGATGAAAAGCTGATCTATCAAGAACATCAAGATTTTTACATTTTTTATCTATTTATATTTTCAAAATTGGTTTACGTAGGGTTGTGCGTCAATACTCGATACATAGGGTGCAATTCGAGCAACGAGTCGATTTGGTTCTATTCAGGGTAGATTCTGATTTGACATGCCCAAAAAAAAAAATATATATATATGTGTATATATATATATGTGTGTGTTTCTGATTCTCCACTTTTCACTGAGGAATGACTAACAGTATTGCTTTGGCGCCATCTTGACGTATCTTGTTGTCAGGGAACTATGTTAAAGTGAGTTGAGGAGTTGAGTTAAGAGACAAGCTGTGCTTTGCTGCCATCTTGTGGCATATATAAACAATTACAAATCATTTTGGGGGCTATTAATATGCAAAAATGTCCACGCAAACCGTTTCATTTCATCAAAGGAAACTCCGGTAGTTTAACACTAACATATAACGTGAATTATAAACCAAATGCCAGTTTCACATCCATGGAGCAGCAACATTTACAAACAGAGCATACAGTAGACATGTTGTCTCTCTGCTCTGTGGGACTACTACCGTTATTATTTCTGAACGGGGTAGAAGGATGGAGACGGCAATGCCGAGTGGGCGGCTTCTCGCGGGTCGCAGCGAGGAAGCGAAGGACGCAAAAGGCGGCAAGGGAGGTTGTCGAGGAGGCGATGGGCGTATGAGGACAATTTCCTCTGGGCTCCTACCGCTCTGACTGTCTGCCGCCTAGCGCCTTCACGGAGGTCCCTAATTGACATCACTTGTCTGCAAAAAAAAAAAAAATAGGCACTCGAGAGGAACTTCTGTGGGCCGGCAGAGAAAATAAAGCGTCGAGACCCGAGACGGTTAATACGCTCCCAAGGACACATGTGAGGGGGCGACATGTTTCCGCCGACACGTACAACAAAGTGGGAACCAACCAAGGTCACAAAATATCTTGGTTACAGTACTTGTGTAAAGTATTTGTACTTTATCTGAGTTTTTATTTTTCAACCAACCCTAATGAGTATAAAGTATATGTTGCATCCACATTTACAACTGGCCCATGTTTTTGTTTTAAAACCACTCAAGTGTGGCCCTCGTGATCAAAACTCGTGGGCTGCAGCAGACCTCTAACAAAAGCATGCTGAAACATGGGACAGGCCAGTTTTGATCTTGAGGTCTGTTCACAATGGGAACAGCCACTAATACATTTTGAGTGTTTCTGTTCGGGTCGGGTTTATTGATGGGGTGCCATTGTCTGGGTTGGCGGCCAAAAACATGCCAGGAAAAAAAAAAAAAAGAAAAAAAAAGACGGGATTTCAAGTTTTCCGCTTTTACATGCAACCAAATATCTTAACAGGCTTGAGGCGTTTTGGCTCGTGCGGCTCTCTATGCAGCCTTTGTGTCACTCGCGATACTATTATTAGCCCTTCACTTTAGTTCAGCCACGCCAGCCATCAAACTCTGCCCGGAGCCGCCACACTGCTGGGCCAGAGTGTCTCCAAGGTTGTCTGCTTTTCCCTTCCATCACTCAATCAGAACTGATCGTGCTACGGTGAAGCCCCATTTATCGCGGGGCGTACATTCAAGACCCATTAGATTCGTGAATGATTGCAAAAGAGAGATTGAAAGTCACTATATAAACACAATTTTTTGGGGAGGCTATCATATAACATCATTTTTGAGGAAATGAAAAGACCATGTTGCATGCACAGTTCTTCAAAGAAGAGGCACAGCATGTTTGCTTCAAGTTGTGGTTCGCTCTCAAGAGCATGAATCGGCGATCTTATTTGCGCAGGACATCGATCGAGCCACGCCACCAAC